GCTCTCGCACGCCGCACAGCCGCAGTACCGCCACCAACGGCACGGCGACGGGCGTGGTGCCGGCGTCGCACTCGGCCAACGCCGTCAACCCCGCCAACGAGCTCCACGTTGGGGACCAAGTCACCTATAAGGGCTGCCGCGCCATTGTGCGCTTCAACGGCTCTACCGCGTTTGGGGCGGGTATTTGGATAGGGCTGGAGATGCTGGAGGGCAACGAGGGCACCAACGACGGCTCCTCGTTCATTGACAAGAAGCAGTACTTCACGTGCCCCAAAGGCAAGGGCGTCTTTGTGCGCGCCTCGCAGGTGAAGAAGTTGGGCTAGCTTTGCGCAACATCCCTCCCTCCTTTCCTTTCCCTAATCCCACCCCACCCATACCCACACAAGAAGATCGTTTAGAGTTCGCAAAGTCGCGTGGCGGTGTAGGTGCTAGCGCTCACCGGTGTTTCTCCCATTTCGTTGTCCTATCTCGTCTGCGTGTCCTTCACTACATTACATTACTAGAGTTTTACTTCCTTCTGTATTTTATCAGTCTCCTTTCTACTGTTTTCTCAGGCTTTTTGGCTGCCCTGATTTCTCGTGCTTTTTTTTCCCCGTGACACACGTATGAGGAGCAGCAACCCTGTATGCTACGATTGATGCATTCATAAAGCTAAAACGGATCTACAAAGTGGGCATCGTGAACGGCGGTGACCGAAACTTCTTTCTGCCTTCTTTCGCTGCTTGTGCTCTTCTACATTTGGGTGCTGCCCCCGCTCACGGCTGTGGCGCGCGGGGGCGGTTGGGCCTGGCCGTCAGTGTTTGCGCTGCCCAGCCAAAGCCTAAGTTTTGGCGCACGTCGGTTGGGGTGAAGGTGCCGGGGCGGAAGCGTCGCGAGCCGGGATGGGTACAGAAGCAACCTTGAGTGCTGCGCAATGTCCGAAGACTAGCGAAATAATTAAAAAAATCGAAGTCGAGAGAGGAGAGTCAGCAACTCTCGTTAGTGCCCGTTTTTGCGCCTTTCCTGTTACCTCCTTCTCTTTCCCTTCTCTTCAATGTGCGCCACGCGGTGCACGCTCTAATACATGTCTTCAACAGAGTTTCACACACGTACACATACGCTGAAATCACTTACACACACGGCGCACGAACTACATCATGTCGCAGAACTTCGGTGACTGGTTCAACCAACTCGGACCCGTCACTCGTGCCTCACTCGTGGCTGCGGTGGGGCTGTCGGCGGCGTCCTCGCTGAACCTCATAAGCGTCTCAAAACTCATCTTGACGAGCGAGGCGATAACGTCGCTGCAGGTTTGGCGCTTCGTGACAGCCGCCTTCTTCCTCGGTAATTTCTCCTTCCAGTGGCTGATGACAATCGCCATGTTTGTCACCTACGTGAAGAACAACGAGGAGTACGACTTCAAGGACAAGCCGGCAGACCTCGTGTACATGTTCCTCGTCGTGATCGCCGCCCTTTCCGCGGTGGGTCTGTACTTTAACCTCTACGTAACAAGCTTTTCCTTCTTGATGGCCCTGTGTTGGATCTTCTGCAAGCGCCACCCTGAGCAGCGACTGGAGCTCTTCGGTTTTGCGTTTCGCTCCGCCGTTTTTCCGTGGGCGCTGATGGCGCTTCACTTCGTCATGGGGGGCGGACTCCTGGCGGACATCTTAGGCGTCGTGGCCGGACATGCCTACATTTTTTTTAAAGACGTGCTGCCTCTTACGCACCAGCAGCGGTGGCTGGAGACGCCGGCTTGGCTGCTGCGGCGGTTTCCCCAGGCCACAACCCGCATCACCTCCTTTGGAGCGGAGGTGCACCCTTACGACCCACGCTTCCAAACAGGGCGACGCAACGACGCACCGCAGGGTGGGAGCAGTGGTGGCTCGCACACCTGGGGGCATGGCAGAGCACTCGGCAGCAATTAGTCTAGTCCTTCTAATTCTTGGGAAGAGAGCAATCACACAGCGGAGGAAATGCACGTAGGGACGATGGCCGCACACGTGCTTTTGCACACACGGGAACCGGAAAGGGAGGGGAGAGAGGGTCCCACGTGTCGCGCTTCTGACGGTGGGCTTGAGTACTTGCTGTTTTTTCGTCTTCCTATTCTGTCGCCTTCTGTCCCGCTGCATATTTGTTGTTGTTGGGCTTTCTTTTTCTTTTCGTTTGGGCTTTCGTTTCTCCACTGCCACTCTGCTGCACACCGCTTGCAAGGCAAAAGAAAGAGAAGAGTTCAGCGCAACAAGAGAAGGAATACAATGCACGCAGAACAACTACTGTGAGCTAAAGCTGTGATGGTAAAGGGAGTCTTTTTCGTCGTGCGTGGGATCTCTATGGACGACCAAAGCGAAGTTTCGTGTCTCTCATTCTTGTATGCACTGGCTAACAGTGGCGCGTATGAGGGCGTCACTCCATGGCCCACCGCTTGGTTTTATGATGCTACTCTTTCTCGGCCCCTTTTTTTTTCTTGTTCTCTGAAGTTGGTTGCGCTTCTCTTACACACACACACACACCCACACACACAACAACAACAACAACAAAAAATAGTGCCATCGAAAGAGTGCAGCTCTACCACACTTCGAAGCCGCGTAGGTCTTGGTGCAACGAGGAGACTTGCACGGTCCTTTGCGCATATCTGTTTGTCTCGCACTAGCAGCAATTTCGCATCCAGCAAACCGTTTTTATACTCTTTTTTCCTGCACTCAGCTTAGAAAATGCCACTAGAAAATGGAGAACTTCTCTCTCGCTCTATTCAGCAGGTAAACAAAGCTTGCCAGGATGTGCAGCTGGCCATGCGAGAGCTGGGCACCGGTCGAGACGCGATTGCGCGAGACAAACTACGACGCACTCGTCTGCTGATGCAGCAGTGCAACGACCGTGTAGAGATTGTCACGAAGGGGGCAGATTCATCGCTTGATGCGCTACAACAGGAGTATGCGCAAATAACGACACAGTTCGCGTCTCTGAACGCTGAAGCGACACGGCGAGAACGGCAAACATTTCGCCAGACAGACCCGGGTAGCTTGCGGGAGGCAGGTCTCGATGCGCTCGACTCACAAGTTACCTTTAAACAGGTGCAACCAGTTGACTTGTGTGAGTTTCACACCGAGGAGGCCATCCAGCGCGAGAAGCTGCAGCACGCTCGCGAGATCGAGTCGGACGTGATGGATCTCAAGACGACTTATCAGGAGTTCCACTCCTTAGTGCATCAACAGCAAGACGGACTAGACAAAATGACGAACAACGTGACTGAGTCGAAGTCGCTCATTGAGCAGGGCCACAATCAAATCCAGGGCGCCTCGCGCAGACAGAAGTCGTTTCGCAAAATAGGCTGCATTGGCTGTGCGGTGCTTGTTGTTGTCGTCATCATTGTTATTATTATCGTAGTGCTGGTCACGAGGTAACATGGCTACACGTGCTTCTGTCTTTTTCTTTTTGCGGTTTTGCATGTATGCTGTTTCTCTTCTTCCTGCTCAACTATCCTTTTTTTTTTCAAATGAGGGCCGTTCTGTATGCGTTTTGATCTGCTTGCGGTGTGCGTTGTTGTTCAGTAGTGATCACGTCTGGAGATGTTCTTTTGTTTGTTTTACCTCTCCAAATCTGCGAAGAGCCAATGCCAAATCCGCTGTCTTCTGTTTCGCCGCCTCATGCGCTTTCTCACAATGCAGGAGCTCTTTTGAACTGAAAGCGTTGCTTCGCATGACGTGCAGTCTCTTCCTTCTTTCTGTATTTCGTATCTGGGCTGCCAACGACGGCACCAAAGAAGGGCATATATGGTTCTTTCTTTACAAAAGCGCACACACTACAATGGGATGGTGTTTTGCGCTTGACAGCCACCCTGATTCGCCTGGTTTCGACACTTGGAAACGAGGGTGTTCTCTTTCTGAGCAACTCACACTTCGTTGTTGTTGCGCCGTGCCCAACTCGCACGAGAGATTCAGGTTTTGCCAGCTTCGCTGTTCCGGACATTTCGCCAAACCGAAGCAAAGCGCCGCTTCTTCTCCCGCCTCCTCCACCTGTCGCCGTCGTGACGTCTCTCGTTTCGTCATTCTTTGCTTCGCTCCGTCGCGCCTCGGGCAGAAACCAAAAACAACACCGACAAACTCTTTTATCGCTTGTAGCGTCTGTGCCCCCCATTTTCTTACCTTTGGAAGCGGCGTCGATTATTATTATAAGTCGAAACGAGGCTTTAAAGAAACCGTATCGTAATGAACGACGACCAGGCCTTTAACTTTGCGCCGAAGCAGGGTGCGCCAGCCTCTCCGTTCGACGAGGGCGGCTCCCCCTTCGGTGCGGAGGCGAACAGCCCACCTTCCATCGGATCTGCGGCCGGCGGCAACGCACCCCCAAATCGCTTCACCGATGCCGCGGCGCCGTCGCAGCACTCGCCCGCATCAATGTCCGCGCACTCCGGCACCGGCGAGGCCCGCCCGAACGCTGTGAAGGCGCCGTGGGACGACGACGACGACTGGAACACGCCGAGCGCACCCGCACCGGCGCAGCCGGCCGCGCCCGGTTCCCCGCCCGCCGCCGACGAGAAGCCAGCGTCCTCCTTCCTCCCCGCACCCGCTGCCCCCGTCTCGGCAGCTGTGCCGCCGTCGCAGCCGTCGCAGGACAGCATGAGTCCCTTCTCCGCCTCGCCCGCTGAGCCGCGCGCCACCCCGCAGTCGCCGCCGCACGGTGGTGTGAACGGCTTCATTGCGTCCTCGCCGCCGCCGGGCTCGCCAAACCGCCCGCCCACGCCGCCGGAGAAGCCGAGCGCCGTCAACACCGCCAAGATGGACGCGCTGAACAAGCAAGTCGCCAGCCGCACCGCTGCCTACGACGCCGCGACTAAGGAGAAGGAGAGTAAGATCCTCGCCGCCGCGCAGGAGTTCATCAAGGCGCAGAAGGCGAAGCGCGAGAAGGAGGTGTCGGAGGCGAAGGCCAACCACAAGAAGGATCAGCAGACGGATGCAAACAAGATCGATGCGTACAAGAAAAGCGGCGCCGTGTGGAACGCGGTGGGCATGTTGGTCGACCTTCAGAAGCCGAACCAGTACTCGAAGGGGACGGAGCAGATGCGGTCCATCTTCTCCATACTGAACGCGACCCCCGCTGCCCCCGCGGCCACGGCTGTTAAGAAGTGACGCAGACACGTCGATTGGTGCCTTGGAAGGTGAGGCGGCTCCTGATTTTTCGTTTCTACTTATTCCTTCCTCGTCGCTGCGTCTGCTTCATGTAAGAAGGGGGGAGGTGCGCAGGTGTGTAGAGCAGAGAGGAAAAGTGTACCGGGCAACTTTGCAGAGGAAAGAGAAAGATCAAATATATGTATAACGCCCTGGCGGAAACAGTGGTAAGTGTCGTTGAGGCCCGAGGGAGAAAAACACCGTGTTGTCGCTGGCCCTCTATTGTTTTCTTTATCCCTTTTCCTTTTGACGTTGTGTTTTCGCCTTCACTTCGCGTTCATTGTTTTTGCTGGTGTTTTGCCGCTTTTTTTTTTAGTGTGAAATGACGTTGCACTGGCGTTTTCCCTGTATTTCTGCATTTTTTTCCCGTTTTGTGTTCTGCACGTACTCTGTGCGGTCGTATCGTTGCTGCCCCCAGCTGAAATGCCTGAGCTACTCGTTACTTCGTGTCTCTCTAATCAAGGCAAAGAGAGCCGTTGTAACGCTTGTGCCCCTCACCCACCATTCTGTTGTGTCCGATAGGGAAATAAGCAGACCAAGGAAGGACATCCAGCGGGGTTCCGTGTTGTTGTGTCCGGACGCGCTTTAGCTGCCGCATACGTGTACCGTTTACGAAAGAATACACGAGTGAGCTTCCGAGAATGCAGTCCAAAGAGATCTACGTGTACGTGATTTTTCTCTTTGCTTTCGCAACGTGTGCATTGGTAGAAGGACGCATACCGGATTCTTCTTTCCTTTTGCCGCTGGCAGGGGTGGAGGGGGAGGGGGGGGGGTCGATGAGGGAGGACGAAGGCGGTGGTGGATCACCATCTCGTGTTGCAACGTGCCCCGCAATGCCGCTTTCTCTTTTTTCCCCCAACGATGACGCTGCGAGCCTCTCTACTGCTTTTTCCTCTCTGCTCTTCTCTGCGTGCCTTTTTTTTTCCTTACCTCTGCGTTGATGTGTCGTGCGTATGCTGCGTTGTGCCTTTACCTTGGTAGTTCCCCAGGGTTCGGGCACACACACATTTTCATACTTGTGCACTTGAATTTGTACATACCCACCGGCTCCAGCGGCTTTCCTATATAAATACAGATTTACATATTTGCATAGGTGCGCACAAACTCGGTGTGCATCACCCCCTCACTTACTCTTTATTTCATTTCTGTCTCTGTTCACTATGCGCGGAGGACGCGGCGGATTTGGCGGACGCGGCGGTGGCGGTCGCGGTGGGGGCCGCGGTGGCTTCGGTGGCGGCGGTCGTGGCGGTGGCCGCGGAGGTGGTCGCGGCGGCGGTCGCGGTGGGGGTCGCGGCGGACGCGGGGGCGGTCGAGGAGGTGCGGGTGCGCCGAAGGGCAACATCTTCCACCCACATGCGCGCTTCAACGGCTGCTACCTGCTGGCCGGCAAGGACACTCTCTCCACCCGCTCCCTCGTGCCAGGTGTGTCGGTGTACAGCGAGAAGCGCGTCAACGGCACCGTCGCGGGCGAGTCCGAGTCGCATGAGTTCCGTGTGTGGAACCCATACCGCTCCAAGTTAGCCTCGGCCATCTACGCTGGTGTAGCGAACATCTACATGGAGCCGGGATCGGCCGTGCTGTACCTCGGCGCGGCCAGCGGCACCACCGTTAGCCACGTGTCCGACCTCGTCGGCCCTGAGGGCGTCGTGTACGCCGTGGAGTTTTCGCACCGCAGCGGCCGCGACTTAGAGGAGATGACGAAGCGTCGCAGCAACATCGTGCCGATTCTGGAGGATGCCCGCTACCCACAGAAGTACCGGATGTTGATTCCCCGCCTGGTGGACTGTATCTTCATGGATGTGGCGCAGCCGGATCAGGCCCGCATTCTAGCTCTTAACGCCCAGCACTTTCTCAAGGAGAACGGCGGCTTTGTGATTTCCATCAAGGCAAATTGCATCGACTCCACCGCGGATGCCGCGACCGTGTTCGCCTCTGAAATTCAGAAGCTGAAAGACTCTGGGCTGCGGCCGAAGGAGCAGGTTTCGCTAGAGCCCTTCGAGCGCGACCACTGTGTCGTTACGGGCTACTACAAGAGCCCGCCGAAGGCTGCGGAGTAATTTGTGGCGGCAGGGTGTGCCGGTGTCCTCCACAAAGCACTTCGTGTTCTTTGTGGAAGGGGCATATGCGCGTGTATGCGTGTCTGTGGGTGGGGGTGTGTTGTGGCGGTCTCTCGGTTTTTCCTTTTCGTCACCTGTGTGAGGTACTCGTGAAGGGAAAAAATGACAGCAGAGGAAAAGAAACTCTAACAAGTCGTAATTTTGTTAAAAAACACGTAAGCTGAACGCGATCTTTTTTGTTCTTCTCTTCCTCTTCTAAACACCAAGTTAATCGGAGTAAGTGTGCGTTAGCTTGTTTTCTGTGTTTTCGCTGATTGGGTGTCGGCATGTTGACGTAATAATCGAGAAGAAAAGGCGCCATTTACTAAAACATGCAATATGCACCGAGTGGTCTAGAGAAGCGCCATTCCAGCAGGAACGCGTATGCTTTGACAAGAGATTCTGTTTTTCTCGTCGCGGAGAACGAACTCGCTGTGAATGCAGAGTCATGGAGTTCAGGCGCAGCGGAGGCGTTTCCCTCAAAACACCGCGGAATGCTCTGTTTTGTATGCGTCAAACGTAGTCGCGCTCGATTATTAATTACGAGGGATTAGATGTGTGCGCACTGCCGGTGTGATCTCAGAGAAGCCGCGAAGCGGAAGCAGGAAAGTGCATAACAGCGTTTGTTGAGGGGGGAGGGGTGGGGTGGGACAAACACGCAAAATGAACTGGCAGCACCTTTTTCTTTCCTTTTCTCTTCTCCCTACTTCCACAATTTACTTTGCCCATCATATGGCGCGTCATGGTCGACGTTTTAGGATAAAGAGAGGCGCAGAGGTCGCATTTACATGTATTCGCACACTCACACCGGACAACCCGCCCCGCCCCTCGAAACGAGAGTCGTTCACTTCCAGCACTGATCACGCGCAGTGCTAGGCCCACGCCGACGTACCCTTGTTCACCACACAGTTTCTCGGCTGTTTGTTCTCTGAAAGTGAGTTGTCGTGAACTGTAGGTTTTACGAACGGCTTTTCTTGTCGCTTACGCCACGGCCCCATTCTTTATCTTGGGGGATCCTGCTACACACGCACACCCTCACCGTGCCCTTAACCACACAAACAGAGACAATCACGAAGGGACAATGAAGCCGAAGGCGGCGCAGGTGCGCCAGCAGCAGTCGCTGAACCGACGCGCAAAACTAGAAGAAAGCGCAGCACGTGTGCAGCAGGACCTCTACGCCCGCCAGGCACTCATGCGGAACATGGCGGGTGGGCAGCAGGGAAATGCGATGTACGGCCGCCCCGTGCGTAACAGCGACCCCAACCGCGGCGTCATCACACAAGCGGAGTGGGATGAGTTGGTGGAGCGCCACGAGGACTCGGGCAAGTGTTTTCGTTACTTCTTTGGCATCCTCATCCTACTCTGCCTTCTCCTCTTAGCCTTCTCGAAGTACGACGAGGAGTACAACCTTGAGGTGCCGCAGGTGGAGTCTGGCAGAGGCTTCGGCGAACTGCTCAACCCTGACCGTTTCAGCAGCACCACCGAGACCGCCGCCACCTCGAAGGAGGAGCTGGAGCACTACTACCACACGTTGGGTGTAGACGGACGATTGAACCTTAGCAGTAAGGACGGCCACGCCGCCGCTGCAACTGCGGTGGAGGAGAACGCAGAAGAAGACCCTGACAAGGCCCGCCGGCGCGAGAACTATGTTGTGCGCCAGCAAATCAAACACGCCTTCGCGACGCACCAAGAGAAGCAGGGGCAGCTTGTGCACTGCGGCCGCACCTGTGAGGCAGAGAACAAGCAGGTCGAACTCGCCTATAACAAACTCGTCTCACAAGTGGACCGTGAGCTCTTCAAGGTCCTCCTCGACGCCAACGACACCATGTCCGTCCGATCCACCACCCCCGCCCAGCTGAAGAAGAAGTACGAGGAGAAGCGTCAGCGCATTCTGGAAACGGAGAAGGACGAGGTCGACCGCAACATGGCTTTGGAGGAGCTAAAGGACGCGTACGACATCATCGAGAACGCCGACGCGCGCAAGTACTACCTGCTCTACGGCGCAAAGCCGCCGGAGCAGATGCGACACGTCAGCGCGCGTCACGGTGGCTGGGGGCAGGAGATGGCGTTGGGCACCTTCAAGTTCCGCATCATTATTATGTGGCTTGATTTTCTGCACACGTACTTGGGTGTGTGGGGCGAGACGTTTGTGCTGGGCAGCGTTGTGCTCTTTGTGCTGTCGCGGTTGCCGCAGGCTCTGGCGGACGCGGATCGCCTTCTGGACCAGTTTGACCTGCAAGACGAACACGCCGAGAAGGAAAAGAAAGAGGCGACCAAGGCTGAGTAGCCTCTCCCCTTCTTGTGGCATTGCTATTCTTGTTTTGAGGCTAAAAGAAGAAGGTGTGTGCTTTCATGTGCTAAACGCACACCCCTCTCAATCTCACCGTGTCGTGTTTATTCCACCTCCTGTTCAGGCGCATGGTGAAGACTAGACAAGGTTTTTTTGTGTGCTTCTTTTGCTTTCTGAAGCTGTTGCTTCCTTGGAGGGAAAGAAGTAAGAAGGGAAACAACGATGATGTTTTCGACCGTTTCCGTGGGGTAACGATTGCAATACAGAGATTTCTTCGACTTCATCGGGCTTGTTGCAAGGATATGCAGCGACACGAAAGCACGATTTTCGTGTTTGTTCGTGCGCTGCGCCGCTGGCATTCGCGAACGCAGTGCTCCGCCTGCATTTTTGCGGTACACACACCCAGGTCTCTTGTCCTCCTGTTTGTTTTGTTCGGCGTTGCAGCTCCTTCTTCCTTTGTTTGTGTCCTCAACTCTTTCGACATCTTGTATTACTTTGATACGACCATCTTACATGCGTATATATATTTCGTAAGTTTCCCATTTTTCACCCACTCGTCTTACTTTGCAGCTTTACCGTGCTGTGCTTGGCTTTCCGAACACCATAATATGTAGTGTGGGGATATGCCATGTTAGCGATGGACAAACAGGACTATTACACCATCTTAGGCGTATCTCGAACGGCGAACAAAGACGCAATTCGACAGGCCTACAAGGGAAAGGCGCTACAGCTTCACCCCGACAAAAACCCAAACGGCGCTGATGTTTTCAAAATAGTCGTCAACGCGTATCAAACGCTCAACGATCCCATTAAGCGCTCCGCATACGACCGTGAGCTGGCGCGAAACGACCGCGGCTTTGCGCATCGCCCCGCGCGCCCCGCGGCCCCATCATACGCGCCTCGGGCCGCTCACCCCGCGCCTTCCCACGGCGCCGGCGGCGGTGGCCCTTCGTCCCGCAAACCGCGCTACGCTACCGACGAGCAGCTCTTCAAGGATGCCTACGAACAGTACAAGAAGAACCCCTTCTCCGGAGCGCCGAACGCCGACTTCCGGGGCGCCCACTCAGAAGGAACGTTTGCGGAATGGTTCAAGAAGAAGCAGGAGGAGCTGCGGAAGGCGGAGGAAGTGGCCAAGGCGAAGGCCGAACACGCGAAGAATTTAGAGCGGGAGGAGCAGCGGAGGGCGGAGGAGTGGCGTGAGATGCAGCGGCGCCGCGAAGAGGAACTGGAGGCGGAGATGTACAAGGCGAAGGAGGTCCGCGAGAGAGAGCGCGAGCTACTGCGCCGCGAGCGAGAGGAGCAGGCGAAGGCGGAGCAGGCGGCGGCACAGAAGGCACGGATGGAAGAGAACGCCGAGGTGCAACGGGCCCAGCAGGCGGCGGTGGAGCGGCACCTGCGTGATTTAGCCTCGCAGAAGCGGCAGCTCGCTGAGGAGCGCCAACGTCTTGCGGACGAGCGGGTGCAGGCGGCGCAGGTTGCCGAGGAACAGCGGCACACGCGGGATGCGGCGCAGCGGCGGCGAGAGCGCGAGTTGGCCGACGCCGTGCGCCGCGCCGATGACAAGGTTCGCGTGGCGCAGGAGCAAATAGCGATGCAGGAGCTCGAGGAGCGCGCAAAGGCGGCGGAGCGCCTGCAGGAGGAAAAGCGGAAGCGTGCAGAGGACGAGCGCGCACGCGACGCGGAGCTCGCACGGGAGCGGCAGCGCAAGGAGGACGAGGCCGCCGCATCAATGGAGCGGCGACGCGCCAACGAGGAGATGGGGGCGCAGCGGAAGCGCGTCATTGCCCAGATGATGTCGGAGCGCCGCCGCCACGAGGAAGAGGTGTCCGCGATGCGGAAAGAGACGGATCGCATAGAGGCTGAAATGAAGTCTAAGCTAGAGGCTCTACGGGCTGCGAAAAGCTCCGGCCAGACTATCAACCTGGATGAGTGGAAGTTGTAGTGGCGTTTCATATTTGTTTTCGTTTGGAAATAGATCCAGAGCTTCAGGGCTGGACGTGGAAGAAAAGCTCCCACCCATTTGTACATTTCTACGCTACCTTTTTTTCTTTGCGTGTGCGCACGAGTGCTGTCGCCTTTATACTTTACGCGAAACTCACACGCTCTCCACGATGTAAACTACTAACCTCAAACAGCTTAAGTTTTTCTTTTACATCTTTCTTCTTAATTTTTCCTGACGACTCCAATTTGGACATTTCACAGCCCTTCATTCTGCCGAGGAAGCGGCGTCAACGCTATAATTTGCTTATTAGATATGAGTGCAACGTGCATTTTTTTCTGTTGCGTTCTCAGAACTGATCTTTCATTACCGAATGCCTTGAAATCCTCAAAACGAAGAAAGCTGATACCGCGTGTCGCCGTTTATGGAGAAAAGCTGCAGTGCATGGGAAACGGCGCAAACATTTTTGCCCGTTGTTTCTCTTGTTTTGTTGTTGTGTGCTTGTGTTGGCCGGTTGACATGCCCGAAGCGCTTATACACCTCTCAAAATGAAAGCCTTTTACCGCTTTTAGAGAAGCAAGCACTTTACAAAGTCTGTTGGCGGAATGATGCCTTCGCTTTCCGATGAAACTAGTGTATCCCGGCACACTGCGAGTGTAGCGAAGAAGTGCCTCTGCGTCACGCATCAAAAACGTCAATAACATATTGCCGGCCACGGTTGCTCCTCACGGTCTGGCTTACTTCTTCAAACCAGTTTCCCAGGTGTCTCTCCGCATTTCTTGCTCTGCTTTTCTCCTTTCCTCTTTCCATCCGTCCTTTTTACATGGGCTACACGTCTGGACACGCAGATCTAATCGCCCCCACGCAGAGAAGCACGGTGATCTTATTATTAATATAAGTATATATATATTTGAAGTTCCCTTTTTTAGAGCTATTTCTCCTGTTTTGCTGTATCTTGGCGTGACTGGCACAATCTACTGGAGGAAAAGCTTTTTGACGCCTTTAACTTTGTCGCTTCCTTCGAAGGTTGCAACCATGTATGGAGGAATGTACGGTGGAGGCCTCGGTATGGGCGGCATGGGGGGCATGGGTGGCATGTACGGAGGCGGTTTAGGGATGGGCGGCTTGGGCAGCGGCATGTACGGTGGTGGTTATGGGATGGGCAGCAGTATGTACGGCGGCGGCCTCGGCATGGGAGGTGGCATGTACGGCGGGTCTGGGCTTACCGGTGGTTCGTCTTACGGGATGAATGGCGGACTGAGCGGCTTTGGCCGCAACAACCAACTCGGCTCGAGCAACGGCATGGGCATGGGCAACGGACTCAACAACGACGGCATGCAGGGCAACGGCATGCAATCCCCCCTCAATCTCCCACCTACGGACCAGTCGAACCAGCTAGCGTCCCCCATCAACCAAAACTCGTCACCGCTGCCCCCTCTGAACGAGTCGCCAGAGGAGCGCAGTCGCCGTATCCAGGCGGAGCACAAGAAGGAGCGACAGCTGATACGGCAGCAGCGTGAGCAGCACCGCCAGGCCCGTCTGCAGGCACGCATGGAAATCGCGGGCCACTTCACCAACATTCTCGTGCAGGGTCTCCGCTCCGCCATGGAGCTCTTCGGTGTGTGCTTTGGCACGTACTATAGCATGAAGGCCGTGCGGGCGTTCTCGAGCGTGCAGCCGAACATGGGCATGATGCCGAACCAGCGCTTTGCCGGCAACCTCGCCCAGCAACAGCAGCAGGCAGCCGCAACGGCGGCAGCGACGAAGACACAACAGGCCGCCGCCAACGCGGGCACCGCCGGCCCCAGCAGGTGGCGGACGTGGCTGCTGTGCATCGCCCTCTTCATCCTGGGCGAGGTGGCATACAGCATCGCGACACGCCAGCGCGCCAAGCCGCCGCAGCGCCGTCGCCGCATCACCGGCCCGACGGAGGACGCCTACGGCAACGTGATCAGCCCCGACGAGTACGAGGTGAGCATCCGCAGCACCGACGACGAGTCCGACCTCACCGAGAACGAGCGGGAGGAGGAGTCCATGTCGGATGCCTGGGGACAGGCCTACAACTCGAACGGGGTGTACGGCGGTCCGCAGGGCATTCGCCCCGGCGCAGGCAATGGCGTACGTCGCGTGTACTGCGCGCTGTACGACTACCAGGCCCCGCAGGCTGACGGCTCGTGCCTGAGCTTCAAGGCGGGCGACGAGTTCATTGTGGAGGACTACGTGGAGGGGAGCTGGTGTGAGGCGATGGCAGTTGCTGGTGGCAACTACTCATCTCACGGCCGTCGTGGTCTCGTGCCCAGCAACTTCCTTCGCCTTGCTGAGCGCGCCACGAAGCTGTAAGGCAACAGGGCAGGCACACACACACACACACACACACACACAACAAAACTAGTAAAAGAAAAACAAGTGTGATGACAGTGATGTGTGTGTTGGATGGATCAACGCGCGGTTTGCCTTGTCTTCTTCTCTGCTGCTTTTTTTTCCCACTAGTAAGTCTAACTTAATATCTGTTTCTTCTCTTTTGCGTCTCCCCTGACGGTGTGGCACTTCAGGTATTCCACGTCGCATGAAATGGGATGAATTAGGGTGCACGAAAAAGTGAAAGCAGTCTCAGCTGTCCGTTTCTTCTGCTCCTTCAAATGGCTCCCTTTCGTACAGCCCTTCACGAGGAAAAGGAGAATTTCAATTTCAGACAAAATGAGCGGACCTGGACACATCCTCTGTTTATGATTTCCCCATGGGCTCGTCCTCCAAGCGACCTAGTTTGACAATCAAAAAAAGGCACTATATAAACCTCACCAGGTGTAAGCTGGCAACTCGATTGCACCTGGTGATTGCGCGCAGTATCTTTTTATTTTTTTCTTTAAACTGTTTTATCTCATCAACATCGCTGTTTTTTCCCCCGATTGTTGGTTATTGGGGTTATTCGGTGTGAAGGTGGTTGTGAAGTATCAGGCAAATATATTACTTGCTAGCTGCTGAGCGGCACATACAAAAGAAAACCAAACGAACAATTCCAACACCTACGCGTTTAAGTTGCCGGCAGACTCACCTTTTTTGAAGTTCGCGAAAAAGAAGGAGAAATCGAATTCGGCCAAAGCAGTCTCACTCATTGCTGTCTTTAAGCTCTGGGGCGGGATGCCGTATACGAGTTCTCGTCAGCGTGTGTCTCGTAAACAATGAAGAAGGAAATTGATGGTCGTGTGTTCACCCGCTGTTCCCCCTTGCTATTTTTTTTTCCTTTGCCCTTTGCTTTCTTTTGACACTCTCTGTATCGTTGTATTATCTCCATGGCAGTTAGATATGGCAGACAATCAGCCCGCCCAAGAGGCACCCGTTGCCGCCGAGGCCCCTCGCGGCGAGCGTGGCTTCGGCCGTGGCCGTGGCGGTCGCGGTGGCCGTGGTGGCCGTGGCGGCCGCGGTGGCCGCGGTGGCGCCGGGGAGGAGAAGGAGTGGGCCCCGTGCACCAAGCTGGGCCGCCTCGTGAAGGCGCAGAAGGTCACCTCCCTCGAGGAGATCTTCCTCTTCTCGATGCCCATCAAGGAGCACCAGATCGTCGACACCCTCATCACCGAGGGCCAGCTGCGCGATGAGATGATGAAGATCTACCCCGTGCAAAAGGCCACCTCTGCCGGTCAGCGCACCCGCTTCAAGGCCTTCAACGTCGTGGGCGACGGCGCCGGCCACATCGGCATTGGTGCCCGCGTCGGCAAGGAGGTGTCCCTGGCGATCCGCTCGTCGATGATTGCGGCCAAGCTCAACATCGTGCCGATCCGCCGTGGTTACTGGGGTAACAAGATCGGCGAGCCCCACACGATCCCCATGAAGGTGACCGGCAAGTGCGGCTCCGTCGCTGTCCGCCTCGTGCCCGCCCCTCGCGGTACCGGCATCGTCGCGGCCCCAGTGCCGAAGAAGATTCTGGAGTTCGCCGGCGTGGAGGACGTGTACACGAGCTCCCGCGGCAAGACCCGCACGCACGGCAACCTGATCATGGCCACCTTCTACGCCCTGCGCAAGACCTACGGCTTCCTCACCCCCGACCTGTGGGCGGAAACCGAGCCGTCCCGCGAGCCGGCCGACGAGCACGGCGAGTTCCTTGCCGAGGTCGCTGCCGCGTAAACCGCCCCGTGCGCCTTTCTTCGGAGCCGTTCTGCACGCTGTGTTTTCTCGCATATCTTTTTTTTTATGTTTTATTTCGTTTCATTTCTCATTCGAAAAAGAAGAACAAACTGCTGCCCGAACTCCTTGCTCATGCAAGAGAAGCCGCAGAGTGTGGTGAGATGTGCGTAACCGGAAGTTTACAAGCCAGGCACGCAACCTTACGAGCGTCTTCAGTGGCAATTTACCGGTCATCTCAATCCCCCCTTTTTCCCCTTTCATTACGATCAAGACACATCTATGGCGCGCGTGGTCTGCTTGATCCGCGCACGACCGCGTTAAACATGGATTCTATCACCCGATGCTTGCCATATGTCTTTCCAATTATCCTAGTGTATTTTTCGCCTCACAACTCGTTTTTGTCTTGTTTCCTTCCGTCACCACCAGCTCTCCAGCTTCCAACACACACTTTCGTTCACCCTCTTTGCCTCCTTTTCTCGCCAAACAACGATGGCCACTCCTCGCTCCGCTCCCCGCAAGGCCGGTGCCCACAAGTCGCACCACAAGCCGAAGCGCACGTGGAACGTGTACGTCAGCCGCTCCCTCAAGGCGATCAACAGCCAGATGTCCATGTCGGGCCGCACGATGAAGATCGTGAACTCGTACGTGAACGACGTGCTGGAGCGCATCGCGACGGAAGCCGCGTCGATTGTGCGCGCGAACAAGAAGCGCACCCTTGGCGCTCGCGAGGTGCAGACGGCCGTGCGCATTGTGCTGCCGGCTGAGCTGGCGAAGCACGCCATGGCCGAGGGCACGAAGGCCGTGTCGAACTCGTCGCGTTAAAGCGGCTGCGTGAGCGACACGACTCACCCCTACGTACTCCCCCTTTTTCATAGATGCGTTTTGTTTCCTTTGTTTTTTCCTCGCCTTTTTTTTTACCACACGTCTCTCCTGCGTATGACACTTTCTGTGCTTGCTGGGGTAAAGTGATCCGATAGAAAAAGAGTCATCAAGATCGTAAACAGGCGATTTGCAAACCGCAAAAAAGAAGAAGGAGAGAACACAGCGAAACATGCTAGTGTCTTGATGTTTTGGGCGTCTTCGACTTCTAAACTGCAAGAACGGCGTGTCATGCAGTTGCATGATTGCCTGCCTGTCCGTTTGCTCTTCTCGATGCGGACTCACATCTCTTCGTCGTTCCATGCACAGGTTTGTCGAAGTGGCTCTACCGTACCCTTCCTTTTCCTTGTTGTCGAAATCCTTCTTTTTAATGAACGTTCTTTCTCGTTGTTTCTTTCTTGCCACTCGCACTTGCCGGTTCCTTGCGACTCTACCAGCTCTCCAGCTTCTTTTCGCTACCAAGTCTTTCCCTCCTCTTCGACGGATTCACCTCCTGCACAACGATGGCCACTCCTCGCTCCGCTCCCCGCAAGGCCGGTGCCCACAAGTCGCACCACAAGCCGAAGCGCACGTGGAACGTGTACGTCAGCCGCTCCCTCAAGGCGATCAACAGCCAGATGTCCATGTCGGGCCGCACGATGAAGATCGTGAACTCGTACGTGAACGACGTGCTGGAGCGCATCGCGACGGAAGCCGCGTCGATTGTGCGCGCGAACAAGAAGCGCACCCTTGGCGCTCGCGAGGTGCAGACGGCCGTGCGCATTGTGCTGCCGGCTGAGCTGGCGAAGCACGCCATGGCCGAGGGCACGAAGGCCGTGTCGAACTCGTCGCGTTAAAGCGGCTGCGTGAGCGACACGACTCACCCTTACGTACTCCCCGTTTTTCATAGATGCAACCTTTGTTTTTTTCCGAAATCTACTTTCCCCCCTCCCCTCCTCATTTTGAAGCGTAACAGCTTGCTGGACCTGAACCCTCTAGAGAAGAGAAAAGAAAGGAAACTATTACCACTGCTTTTGAAGTAGGAGCGTGCTTCTTCTCACTTCTTCGACGACCATTCTCATTGTCACCACTTTTTTCATGTCCCACTTTCTTGTTATACTGGAACCTGCTGCAGGCTTTCGACAGTCTTCTGTGCTACAATGCGACAAACGTTTTTTGTATGCTTTCGCGCTCCTTTTACCTGCTCCTTGATGTTTCCCCTTCGCACCTTTGCTTCCCTCTTGCTGTTCATTCTCTTGTTCCCCAAAACACCGCTGCCGTATTGAAATCTGCGCTTACAAATCTTGCCGTTTTGCATTGCGCGTTACTTTACCGTAGAAAGTGAGCAAAGCCACATTTTTGTTTTGGTTTTTTGAGTTCTATTCTAACAGAAGAAAAGGATTATCCGTATCCGCTAATGAACTCCGAGAGCAAGAGTTCAGGTCCCAAGCAGGACGCACGCCAGCCTCCCAAGGGCCGGAATTCTCCGAAACCGCAGACTGGCAACTCAAGCGGTGCCCCTGCGGATCGCCCACAGCGTCGTCGTGACAACGAGCGCCGCGAGGGCGGGGAGAAGCGCGACGGCGGCGAGCGCCGGGAGCGCCGGGAGCGCCGGGAGCGTCCTGAGCGCCAGGAACGCGGTGAGCGTCCGGAGCGTGGCGATCGCCAGGAGCGCCCGCGCCGTCCCCAGGTCGGACAGCCCGCCGGGGCTGATAAGAGCAAGTCTGCTGCGGAGGAGAAGGCCCATGGACCGGTGGTGTACGTGAAGGGCGACATCGCTTCAGGATCGACCTGGGCCAAGAACGGCAGCGGCCCGTCGTTTGCGGACATGGTGCGTCAAAACGCCAGCGTCGTAGCGGAGAAGACGTCGTCCAAGAACACACCGCCGCCAGCGAAGCAGAGCCCGCCGGCTCAGCAGCAGCAGCAGCAACAGCATCAGCCGCGCAGGAGCAGGAGCAGGAGCAGTTGCCGCCACCACCGCCGCCGCAGGCTCCGCCTGTGCAGCCCGAGGAGTCGTCTGAGGAGGAGGAGGACTTGGTGATAAGCGCCGTCCAGGCTCCGCCGGTGGTGGTGATGGAGCCGATCCCGGAGCCGCCGGTGCCTGTGCCGCCGGTGATCCCGCCGCACTACGTGCTGGAGATTGAGAGGGTGGTGTCCGTGAAGCTGCCGTCCCGTGTGACGCAGGTGGCCGAGGCGCCGCGTGGGGCGTACATGTTCTCGGCCCAAGCCGGCAAGCCCCCGACGCCACCGCCGACGGTACAGCCGCACGCGGTGTACCGCCCTGACACGGCTAACCTCGGCGCTCGCCAGTGGTCGCTGGGCACTGACTCGCGCATTCAGCAGCCCGCGCAGCAGCAGCAACAGCAGCAACAACCGCAGCAGGGATGGCCTGGAGCGGGTCAGATGGATTACTGGAACAGCTCCAGCGACCGTGCTCCGGCTTCGCGCCCGTTCATGGGATCCCAGTCGCAGGCTCCCTACAACTCCTACCCCACCACCGTGCCGCTTTCCCACCAGCGTCCGGCGAGTAACGCGTTCCCGATGCGCTTCCGCGCCTCCGAGATGCCGGAATCCGTCCTGCGCCAGCAACCGTCTGCGCCCTTCAATCGCTCTCCCCAGACCACCAACGGGGGCGGCGTTTGGTAAGCGAGCTGCGTTATGCCGATGCCATGGCAGATCGACGATGCCTTAATAAGAAAAAAAACACACGTTCTTTCTTGCAAAACTTCGAATGGAAGAGTAGAAGAGCAACAGAACGGAAGCCAAACACACCCAGAACGAATCCGCAGTTTCCTGTCCCTCTCTTGTTGTTGTGTTATGTACGCTCACCCAGCGAGAAGGCCATCTCACTTCTTTTCACAATAATGCTGATGTTAAGAGAGAAGATAACTGCGACTGGTTTCATTCATGGTGTTTAACAAAGAAATAGAAAAAGAGAACAAGCGTTTTTTTTTGTCTTCGTTCAAAAGACCCAAAACAAGCTAATGAATTGCCGTTTGGGGAGTTGCAGCTCATGGCGTCGCGGTAGCGCGAGGACGAAGAGGTTGACTCGTTATCGTCGCTTCGTATGCTGCTGCTCAGCGGATTACAGTGAAGTGCGCGCAGCGATTCCTTCATATCCTCCGTCACAGTCAGACAAGGACATAAAAGAGCTGGGCTCTCACTGTAGCCGCTTTTCGCCTCGACACGCACTCACGCACCGAAAGATGGGTATACCGCCGCAAAGGACAAGGCCCCAAGAAAGCACAGTTGTGCAGCAGGCACAGAGACCATTGACCACTTGATTCCCCTTTCGGTTTTTTAAATGGTCAACTTCTCTCTGCCCATCCCCCTTTCTTCTTTCCTGGTTTTACGAATCGTACTCGTTTGGTGGGACAAACGCTGACACCACACACGCATCAAATTGTGTTTCTGTGAAGCGAACTTCTCTTCCCAATGAGGTAGCAGCAGCAGTGGAGCTTGAATTCGCTGTCGTTTATTGCTGTGTAACTCAGGTTGTGTTACCTGCCATCCAAAAAGCACGGAAAGAGAGCTTGCCTTTTCTTCTCCCGGAGCATTCACGTCTTGTTGTCGGCAATGGACTACATTCCCAACACGGATGGGCTGATGCGGTCAACCCTGCGCGAGAGCATTCGCCGACTGCATCGCATCCGCGCCAAGGCGGGCGCCAAGGATGAGAAGGACTCCGAGGGCACCACTGGTGATCCCTTCCAGGACTTGACCAACGCCTTCATTCGCATGGCAACTCGAACAAAGAATAACATCAACGAGCGCAACGATGGGTGCCGCCAGCACGGTCAGGATCGCATGGCCATTGAGCAGTCGAATGAGATCCGCAAAGAACTCCGCCACATGGAGGAGACACTTGCGGAGCTGAAGAAACTCGTGGAGGAGTCGGAGCGGCTGCTGGCCAAGGAAAACAAACGGAAGAAGCCCAAGGCGAGCAAGTTGCAGCTGCTTGAGCGCAACTACGATGGCAGACGGGCACAGTACAGTGATTGTGAGGCGACGCTGCAGAACCTCAAGGCGATGGACGCGCAGCGTGTCACGGGCGGCAAAAATGACGTCAACGCGTACGAAGAGATGCAACTAGGCAAAAAAGCGCAGCTTCGACAGCAGCTCATGGGGGTGCGTCGCACGAAAGCCGCGAATGACGGGAGTCCAGTGGGGCCGGAGGATGTGGTGTTTGTCGACAGCGCCGTCGGCGGTGGCAGGCTGCAAGACAACGAGGAAACGAAAGAGCAGATGAAAACGATCGCCGCGCAGGACGCAAAGATCAACGCCGGTCTTGACCGCCTCAAGGAGGGCGTGGGCCGTCTGCATGAGGTGGCAGTTCAGATCGGCGCGCAGCTTGATATGCAGAGTGAGATGTTGGAGAAGACGGAGCAGACGATCGACAAGCAAACGCAGCAGCTGCGGCGTATCAACCGTCGGCTCAACAAGTTCATGAAGGACACAAAACCAATGAATTGCTTTCTGTACATGTGTTGCATTTTCCTGGTTATTGCCTTGGTTGGCTTCTTCCTCGTACAGTTTAATGTTATTTGAGAGATGATGTGTGTGTGCGTGTGCGCGTATGTGCGCACTTTATTATTATTATTATTTTGTTGCTGCTACCATTTGCGTTGTTCTCCCGAGCACGAGCAGCAAGGGAACCCACTGTGTTCAAGTCAGTCTACTTCTGC